GTGAAGAGTGATCGAGCACTTCAACACAAGAGAGTTCTTCATCAGATCTACATCACCCGCATCCGTTCCTTAGCATTACCCTTCGTCGGTAATCCTAAGAAGAGCAAATATCTCGCTTTATCCGAGATAGGCGCTTCAAGTTTCTAGATCTCCTCGCGGATCGACGAAGCTCTGTTCGATTTTTCTGGATCAGATCTGATTGCCAGGTAGTCCACGGATATCGACGTCCCCGTCATAGGCTAAAGACCCAAGCAAGCAAGAGACGATAAACGGATCTTGTGTTTATTTTTAAGAAAGTTGTAATTTTTATTTTCGTTATTTGAATTCATTTGTAACGTTTGAAGTTTTAATGAAATCAATGATGAAGGCAACTTTTGACGAAAACAAGCTGACGACCACAGTGGGAGCCAACAGCCTCGCTGCCGAGGCTGTCGTGACGCAACCGGCATTCAAGATCCGGGTGAATGAGCCGTTGCACTTACTCCCCGCGACGTTCCTATGACGTCCAACGTGGTTGAAGCTGCAGATCCAGATCTGCCCTCCGCCGTAAAGACAAGTGTTGAAGGTGTTCCAGCTTTGTCAAAGAGGGCGCGCCAAAGACGGCGTCAACGCTTTGCGCGACAGTTGGCCAAGGCCGCAGAATTGATGGACGGGATCCGCTACAATGAGGATCTAAAGTCCAGACAGCGCCAAGAGCAACAACGGCGCACAACCAACTCCTCCTCCAAGACAGAAACGAACGATTGAGTTCGTGTCAAGAGGACTCGCTCAACCCTCGAAGAGCGAATCAAGAAACGCCGCGCGTTGCTTGCGCATGCCCGAGTCCTTCTGCAGAAAGCGGAAGAGATGCAGAAAGAAGAGACGGTCAAAAAGCCGTCAAAACACAAGCAGATGTGGGTGCCAAAGGCAAAACCAGCACCAAAGGCAAAGGTGGACGGAAATGCCATCCAACCTTCATCAAATCCAGATCCCGTCTCCCTTGCCCCCGCACCTACGGCGGAGTCAGGTAAGAACGTGGGTCCTTCTAGATCCAGGGTTCCGTTGAAAGGTCGTCTCGGTCCCTTACCGGAGAACCGAGGTAAAGCACCTGTCAAGGAGCGATTGGGACCGTTGAAAGGTCCCCAAATGACGAACCAGACTGGGGGTCGTGTTAATCCCTCCAAAAAAGATAAAAAAGGGAAAGCCCCTGTTACCGACCGTGTTGGGTTGCGTGTCGAAGTTCAAGAACCCGTTAAGTTTTTACGCTCGCAAAAGCGTAGACTTGAACGAGCGACTTTTGAAAACGCTAATAAAGCGTCATATCCCCAGAGGGAAACACATTCGTCTGATGATGATTGTGTTATACCTGGGAAGTCATGCCAACACTCTATGGGTTGCTCCAGTTATCAAACTGATGAGTTGTACTATAGAGCTGGGGGTGCGGGTAAGTCTCGAAAGAGAGATGCTCGAGACACGGAACCTCACTGTCCGTGTGCCAACATCATCAAGGCGGTGTTGTCAGAATGCTGCTGTTCTAAAACCCCAAAGAGAGTCTCGGTGTTCGAGAGGATTTCCAAGCCAAGGCGTTTTTATGGGAAGAAGTTCGTTCGACAAGAGGACGAATACCTAGAAGTGTCTGCTAATATGACCGGCAGAGGGAAATCGACACGACAATTTGGCCCAGATCGATTTGCCAGAGTATCACAGCGTGTGACTCGATCGCGATCAGGGATCAATACGCGAAAGAATTACCAAAGGATGCAAAAGGGACTTCCGTTGGAAGAGGAGGTGTCAGATGCTGGTTCAGATTCTTGCTCGGCTATAGCGTCCGATGACACGGCTTCTAGTGTGGGACAACTCTTCGAGTCATTCATGATCAGCGCCGAGCAAGTAACCAAGATGCTTGAAGATGCCCTGAATAAGCAGAAGGAAACTTTCAAGTTCGAGATGGAGATGGCCATGCAACGGATGAGAGAGATGCATGACCAGCAAATTGCGGCACTGACAATTCACCAAGGAGAACCCAGTAGACGCAATAATCAGAATCAAGATGAGAATGAACGGGAAGAGAATAATGTCAACATAAATATCCCTCTTGTCAACAACGACAATGGAAGCGGTCCCGTGGATGATAATGCAAAAGAGGACCACGTTACCTCTCCCCGAAGCCACTCGAAGACAGGTACGAGTGAAGACAAGAAGATGAAGGACTTGGAGAGCAAAATCAACGCGTTGATGAATGCTCAAGAAGTGAAAAGGTCCGGCATACCATGTCCATACCCAAGGGAGTGGGAATCAATTCCATATCCGGCAAAGTTCAACCTGATCAACTTCACGCCGTTCGACGGGAAGGGCTCGCCCACTCAGCATCTAATATACTTCAAGTCCCACTTGGGCACGATCTCCGGCAATGAACCCTTAATGGTGCGGTCATTCGTTGGCACTCTTCGCGGAGCGGCCTTCGATTGGTATCGTCGCCTCAAGCCGGGGAGCATGGACGACATGGAAGATATGTTTCTGACAAACTTCTTCGATGACGACACCGAAATCTCAATCGGTACACTATTCGATGAGAAGCAGAAGAATGGTGAGACGGTCGAAAATTTCGTGAAGAGATTCCGAAACAAAGCAATGAATTGCAGGGATCCGGTCAGTGAAGACTTTATCCTCGAGACTTGTCACAATAACCTTTCATTGGACATCCTCGAATCCGGCGAAGTTTAGTCTAATCAACTTCACGCCGTTCGATGGAAGGGGTTCCCCCACCCAGCATTTGATTTATTTCAAATCGCACCTGGGTGCTATCTCTGGGAACGAGCCTCTGATGGTGCGGTCATTCGTCGGCACTCTTCGCGGAGCTGCCTTCGATTGGTATCGTCGCCTCAAGCCAGGAAGCGTGAACAGCTGGGATGACATGGAGACGAAGTTCCTTGCAAATTTCTTCGACGACGACACCGAGATCTCTATCGGATCGTTGCTCGACGAGAAACAAAAAGACGGGGAGTTAGTCGACACCTTCGTCAAAAGGTTCCGGAACAAGGCGATGAATTGCCGGGACCCGATCACCGAGGAATTCATTCTCCAGACTTGCCACAACAACCTCGCATTGGACGTATTGGAGGCAATGGGGACAGCACCGTCTGACACTTGGAAGGATCTGAAGGTGCGCGGTGAACAAGCCGAACGCTTCCTTAAAAGGAAGAAGGCCGAAAGGAACCAACCGACGGTTAATCTGCTGGACTCAAACTTCGCTTCCCGTGGTAAGGGCAAAGCACCTGCAGCTGCTGGTGGTGCTAATCAAGCGTCACAACAGCAATCCCGAAGGCAGCAAAAGACTTCGGGTCCGAGACTCCAAAGAGAGTATTCCTTCAAGGACGAAGACGTTCCAACCATCTTCGAATCGCTCCTCGAAGGCAACAAGATCAAGCTACCACCTATCACGAATCAGGAGGAAGCTGATAACACTACGGACCCAAAGTACTGTGCATACCACAGAAGGGTTGTTCATCCCACCAAGGATTGCTTTGCTCTCAGGAATAGCATTCAGACCTTGGTCGAAGCCGGCGTTATAACGCTAAGGTAAGCCAAATAAAAACGGCAAAACTCCGACCGGTATAAGAGTATAAACTGCTTCCTGACACTCCAAAGAGTATACGAGTATAAACTGTTTCTCAATCCTCCGACCGGTATAAGAGGTTAAACTACTCCCTGATACTCCAATAGGTATATGAGTCTAAACTGTTTCCCCACTTTTGACGGGAAGTTCCTGGAGAATATTAAGCTAATATTCTTAAGGATAACCCGGTTAGTTAACTGATAATAATGTCCGAACCAGTTCCGCAGAGGAAACTGGGGGTGGACGATTTATGTAACGGGAAGTTCCCAAAACCACAGCAATGTAATGAATAAGAACTCCCATTCTCACCATGTCTATGCACTCAACACTCTCTCTGTTAGAGTCTGGACATAAAATTCCCAATTGGTCAAACCTTCTTACAGTTAGGACCACAGTCAAAATCCCCTCTCGATTCTCCCGATGAACGAGAGGTCCTCAAATCGAGCGATCAAAGCTTCCTACAGTTAGGATCGTCTCAAATCTCCCAATTGGTCAAACCTTCTTACAGTTAGGACCACAGTCAAATTCCCCTCTCGATTCCTCCAATGAACGAGAGGTCCACTTTCAAGTCAAGTGATCAAACCTTCCTACAGTTAGGGTCACCTCAAACTCCTGTTTGGCCAAACCTTCCTACAGTTAGGGTCAAAACCATAATTCACTCTCGATAAATGAGAAATTCGTCTTTAGTTCGGTAATCAAACCTTCCGACAGTTAGGGTTATCTGAATCTTTTCGAACCTCGGGGTGGAGATTCCACTCTTGGTTTCACCCTTGTCTTATAAAAAGGCTATCTTTTTGTTTCATTGTAACGATCGAAGTTGTAATGAATGCAGCAATGAATACAGCAACTTTTTCCGCAAACAGTCTTTGCCCTAAGAAAAGACACCACCTTTTCAACCCTCAAAATCCGTGCCTCACAGGTACGGGGAATTTTATCCCGAATCCTAAGTAGGGATAAGTCAACGCCTAACACGCGTTGCCGGTTTAGTCTTTCACCGATTGAAGAAGACACCAGAATTCCAGTCTGGGGAATTTCATCCCGAAGCCTAAGGAGGGATGAGTCACACGCGTTGCCGGTTTAGTCTTTTACCGATTGAAGAAGACACCAGAATCCGAGTCTGGGGATTTTTATCCTGAATCCTAAGTAAGGATAAGTCAGCGCCTAACACGCGTTGCCGGGTAGTCTATTCCCGTAAGAAAGACGAAGTCTACGTATTCAATGTCGTAGCACTAAAAGAGTTAACTCTTTTAGCACAACGTTATGTGCAGAACGGATCTAAACAATCTGCATGCTAGCCCGACTCAAACGGTAATCGGTAAAGACACATCAAACCCGTTGACGGCTGAGGGTTTGCCAAAAATCCTGTAAATTTTATCATCGCTGAATTCAAAGTAAATAAAGAAAGGGAATCAAATGCAGAGTCTCTATTAATAGATCAAGTCAAAGCATACAATAAAGAGCTCGTTAGCCCGAAGGCAGCTGACGGCTAAGAACATGAGACTCTAAACTAGAAAGCCTATCTATATAATTCTTCTCAAGTTCTGCCTAACGGCCTGCCTGATGGAAGCTGAAGAGAAGACCTCCCGGCTACAACCAGTATTAGCATAAGGAGGAAGGCTACCCGCGGGGAACTCGACTGCAAGGATAGAGTCAGAAAGCTCATAAAAAGGGAGATAAGATCAGTCACGGGATAATTAGAGAGACGATTTTGAGTGTCCTACACTGGAAGAACGGTATGCATCATCACGTAAATAACGTGGTAACATACACCGACCTATAAGGTGTAGGACGACACAAAATCGCTCCAATATACCAGAAGACTTGAATTAGCCAAGCAAGGCAAGTCCGAAACCTTGACCCCCGTGATGGAGGGTGTCGGCCCTTCCCGAATGACCCGCGATGGGGCCAAACGAGGGTATGACAAAACCACCAAGTCCGAAACCTCGACCCCCGCGAAGGAGGGTGTCGGCTCTTCCCGAATGACCCGCGAAGGGGCCAAACGAGGGTATGACAAAACCACCAAGTTCGAAACCTCGACCCCCGCGAAGGAGGGTGTCGGCCCTTCCCGAATGACCCGCGAAGGGGCCAAACGAGGGTATAACAGAGCCACCAAGTCCGAAACCTCCACCCCCGCGAAGGAGGGTGTCGGTTCTTCCTTCATGACCCGCGAGGGGATCAATCGGGGGTACAAAAAAAAAATTCCCACCCCCGAAAAAGGAAGCCGCTGGAGGGGAGGACGCTGTAGGAACTTCTTCCTCGCTAGGCTGTGAACGGGAGCGACCCCTAGGAAGTCGAGGACGACGTGGAGACATCAAAAACCTGTAATGAAAAGCAGCAAGTCAGGTGCAATATGAATACACGAAATATAAAAAGGGAAATTAAGAACTTGAGCTAAAGTCCTATGAGTAAATAGGATTTTATAGTTGAAGTCTAATTAAACCTACAAATTTCGTGCATGCGAAACAATGATTGTCATTTTCACGATAAGTTTTGGTGAAATACCCAAAATACCCCTCGTGTTCAATGCTAAATTCGGGTCAAGGACACGCTCGAGTTGGGTCATGGTCATCATATCTGATCATATAGCACCCCCGATACCCTACAATTTTGGTTAATTTTGCAAATAAGCCCTTTTGTAGAATTTAGCCAATTTTGCATATAGACCCCTTCACAAATTTCAAATTAACACCCACATATCCCTCTCAAAACTTTGATCGTGGGTTTGTGATCTAAACTTTTGGAATTTCAGCCCTAAAATTCCAGTCCTTTTGCAAATAAACCCCCTATATACTTTGTGGGTTGTTCTTTTGCAAATAAACCCCTCAAACCACATTGAACCAAATTTACACATACACCCCCCAAAATTTCAGCCATATATTTGCATAAAAAACCCTACAAATTTCAGCCCTCCAATTTGCACATAAACCCCTAAAATTTCGGCCTCAAAATTTGCACATAAACCCCCGAAAATTCAGTCTCAAACTTGCACACAAACCCCCAAAATTTCAGCCCTAATTTCGGCCAAATACCCTCTCAAATTCCCCAAATTTGAAGAAATAGGGTTACAACCTTTGAGTCAAAGATTGAGGGTTTAGCCAAAATCAAAGCCATAAAAAGAAAACTCACCCAAGTTCTTGGAGTTTGAAGAAGAAGAAAGCCTCAAATCACCGAAACCCTAAGCTCGAATTTTTCCCCCTTTTTGCTCGGATCCAAGTCAGAAGAGGAAAGGAAGAAATCGATGAAATATTTAAAGGGTTTGGGGAGTTTTAATCTGGTTCGAATTTTTGAAGTGGGGGAGTTCTCAAAAGACCAGAGCTTGAAGGAAGAGAAGAAACCGAAAAAAAAAATGAGGGGGGAGCGGAACCTCTTGCTGGAAACAAAAAAAAAAGAAAAAAAAGGGGAGCGGAACCTCTTGCTGGAAACGAAAAAAAAAGAGAAAAAAAGGGGAGCGAAACCTCTTGCTGGAAACAAAAAAAAAAGAAAAAAAAAGAGGAGCGGAACCTCTTGCTGGAAACGAAAAAAAAAAGAGAAAAAAAGAGGAGGCGGAAATTCTTGCTGGGACCGAAAGAAAGAAAAGAAGGAAGAGAAGAGGGGGAATCGGTTTTTTTGTAATGGGGTTCTCTTGGTTGAACCGAACCCATATGAACCGGACCCAAATCTGCCCTGAACCGAACCCAAACCTAATGTGTTGATTCATACACGTGTGGGCCGCGAAATGTGGGCTCGCTCGTGTGGAGAGGTCCGGGGATAATTCATATGCATTTCGAACCTCTTTTCGAATATTTTTCGACGTATTCAACACTCGTATGTATACTCCAATGAGAATACGAGTCTAAACTATGTCTCACAATTGACGGGAAGTTCCTGGAAAATATTATGTATGATATTCTTAAGGATAACCCGTCAACCTCCGACGGGTACACGAGGCTAAACTAATTCCCGAAACTCCCAGGAGTACACGAGTATAAACTGGTTCTCCTCAGGTTGATTCGAAACCCTAGGGTCAACGCCGGTCAACGCGTAACCCTAGGTTAACGCCAGTCAACGCGTTGCGACCAAAAAAAAAGTCAACGTATGACGTTCGAAACCCTAGGGTCAACGCCGGTCAACGCGTAACCCTAGGTTAACACCAGTCAACGCGTTGCGACCAAAAAATCAACATTCGACGTTCGAAACCCTAGGGTCAACGCCGGTCAACGCGTAACCCTAGGTCAACGCCAGTCAACGCGTTGCGACAAAAAGTCAACATACGGTGATCTAAAACCCTAAGTCAACACAACGTGACGAAGGTAGTTCAAAGTCAACTCAATGACACGAGCCAAACTCAATTCATCAGCTGCAGACTCGAGACTCCGACGACGGCCAGGCGATAAACGCAGCGCCGGAAGAACTTTGGTTGTTCGTCAAAGCATCGAATACACCGAAAATCGAAGGAGCCAAGAGTTGAAGCTAACTACAGGTCCTGAATCCAAAGTATTCCAGCCTCTTCTATAAAAGAAACGAGTCCGGAACGCTTTGGAGGGGGTATCTGTAGGTATCGAAAATTGCCTATAGGTCTCCACGAACAGCTCAGTGTTAAGGAACGACAATGAACGTCACTATCTGGTTCACAGGAGTTCGATTGACGTCGGTGAACGCTTGAAGTGAATCGACGAACTACGTGAGCTGATAGAATTGCGGAATAACGAAGGCACGGGCCAATCGGGAACCCCGCGATGTTACAAAAAGAACAACGCCCTTCGTGTCTCGTCCATTCTACAGATAATCGAACCAGTGGAGCTGATAAAACTCTTCGTCAGACTTCCAATGCACTTCGAATCACTAAAATCCGAGTTCGGACGAAGAATTTACAGCGGAGTGTCTCGGATTTTTGGAGACACCCCAGGGGTGTCCTAGATTTTTGGGGACGCCCCAGGGGTGTCCTAGATTTTTGGGGACGTCCCAGGAGTGTCCTAGATTTTTGAGAACGCCCCAGGGGTGTCCTAGACTTTTGGGGACGCCCCAGGGGTGTCCTAGATTTTTGGGGACGCCCCACGGGTGTCCTAGACTTTTGGGGACGCCCCAGGGGTGTCCTAGATTTTTGGGGACGCCCCAGGGGTGTCCTAGATTTTTGGGGACGCCCCAGGGGTGTCCTAGACTTTTTGGGACGCCCTAGGGGTGTTGCCTATAAATAAAAGCCTTATGCCTCACTTTTTCAGGATCTGGATTTTTGGAGAATTGGCGAAGCCCTGCTGGAGTGAAGAGTGATCGAGCACTTCAACACAAGAGAGTTCTTCATCAGATCTACATCACCCGTATCCGTTCCTTAGCATTACCCTTCGTCGGTAATCCTAAGAAGAGCAAATATCTCGCTTTATCCGAGATAGGCGCTTCAAGTTTCTAGATCTCCTCGCGGATCGACGAAGCTCTGTCCGATTTTTCTGGATCAGATCTGATTGCCAGGTAGTCCACGGATATCGATGTCCCCGTCACTGGCTAAAGACCCACGCAAGCAAGAGACGATAAACGGATCTTGTGTTTATTTTCAAGAAAGTTGTAATTTTTATTTTCGTTATTTGAATTCATTTGTAACGTTTGAAGTTTTAATGAAATCAATGATGAAGGCAACTTTTGACGAAAACAATCTCCTTTGCCACCACCAATCTCCTCGCCACCTCTTCCTCCTAATTCCCTACTCCACTACTGTCTTCGATGGAGCTTCCATCGCTGCCACAGTGTATGACTGTGTTAAAAATATATTATGTTGAATGTTTAACGTGTAAGCAGCTTTATTGATAAATATTATCTCTCAGTACTATCTCAGCTTCTAGACATAAATATCCAGTTCATTTTACTAGCAAAACCTTTTATCATGTATGCACTCCATGATTTGCTTGCATATTGTCTCCACCAAAGGTAAGATTCGTAATGTTCATGCCTTTCTTATCCAACTATTGAAGGACTCAGCAATATTTGAAGTAACATGGCCATGCCTGTAAACCATGTGAAAAAAACTCATAAGTTTGACGACTAATATGTAACCTAAACAATTAATGTGTAACTTAACAAATTAACTGTAACCTTAACAACTAACGTGTATCCTTATCAACTAAATTATAACCTTAACAACTAATCTATATATGTAACAACTAATGTGTATTTTTATCAACTAAACTACAACATCAGTAACCAACATATAAGCTTAGCAACTACGTTATAAACTTAATAACTAAATTGTAATCTTAATAACCAAGCTATGAACTTAACAAATAACATGTATCCTTATCAACTAAACTATAACATTAACGACTAACATGTACGCAATAACTATGCTGTAAACTTAACAACTAACTGTAATATTAACAACTAAGCTAAACTTTGTTGGACCCTAGAGGGGGGGTGATTAGGGTCAAAAGGCTCTAATATGCAGATTAAAAACACA